GTTCTAAGTGGGAATGGTTTCATTTTTTCCCCATTCAATATGATATTGGCAGTTGGTTTGTCATAAATGGACTTGATAATTTTAAGGAATGAACTGTCTATGCCTATTTTGATTATAGTCTTTATCATAAAGGTGTTGGACTTTGTCAAATGCTTTTTCTGCATCTATCGAGAGAATCATATGGTCTTTGTTCTTGCTTTTATTTATGTGGCAAATTACATTTATAGATTTGCATATGTTAAACCAGCCTTGCATCCCTGGGATAAAGCCCACCTGGTCATGGCGAATTATTTTTTTGATGTGTTGCTGAATTCTATTTGCTAAAATTTTGTTGAGGATTTTTGCATCTATATTCATGAGGGATATTGGCGTGGAGTTTTCTTTTTTTGTTATGTCCTTTCCTGGCTTTGGTATCAGGGTGATATTGGCTTTGTAGAACGAGTTAGGAAGGATACCGTCTTTCTCAATATTGTGAAATAATTTCTGTAGTATAGGTATGAGTTCTTCTTTATATGTTTTGTAGAACTCTGAAGTGTAGCCATCTGGTCTGGGACTTTTATGTTTTGGGAGGTTTTTAATTGCTGCTCCAATTTCTGAGCTTGAGATTGGTCTATTCAGATATTCTGCTACCTCCTGGGTGAACTTAGGGAGGTTGTATGTTTCCAGGAATTTTTCCATTTCCTCCCCATTATGTAGTTTTTGGGCATATAGGTTTTTATAGTAATCAAAAATAATGTTTTGCATTTCTGTGTTGTCTGTTGTGACCTCTCCTTTTTCATTTTTGATTGAGTTTATTAGAGACCTTTACCTTTGGATGCTAGCAAGAGGGTTGTCAATTTTGTTTATCTTTTTGAAAAACCAGCTTTTGGTTTTGTTGATCTTCCATATAATTCTCTTGTTCTCAATTTTGTGTAGTTCTGCTTTGATCTTAGTTATTTCTTTTCTTCTACTAGAATTGGAATTGGTTTGCTCTTCCTTTTCCAATTCCTTGAGTTTATTTATTAGGTCGTCGATTTCTAAACTTTCTGTTTTTTGGATGTGAGCATTTATTGCTATTAGTTTTCCTCTCAGGTATGCTTTTGCTGTATCCCATAGGTTTTGATAAGTTGTTTCTCCAATATCATTTAGTTTAAAGAAGTTCTTGTTTTCCCTCTGTATTTCCTCCTTGACCCAATAGTTAGTCAACCATAGATTGTTTAATTTCCATGACTTTGTGAGATGGTGAGTATTTCTGTTGAAATTGAACTCTGATTTTATACCACTATGCTCTGAGAAAATACACGGTATAATTTCTATTTTTCTGAATTTGTTGAGGTCTGATTTGTGGCCCAGAATGTGATCAATTTTTGAGAAAGTACATGGGCTGATGAGAAGAACGTAAATTTGGCTTTATTTGGATGGAATGTTCTGTAGAGATATGTCAGACCATTTTGTTCTAGAGCTCTGTTTAAGTCCATTGTTTCTTTGCTTATTTTCTGTTAGGAAGTTCTGTCCAGTTCATTCAATGGAGTGTTGAAGACCCCTGCTACTACGGCACTGTTGTTTATCATGCTATTTGGATCAGACAAGGTTTGCTTTATGTAACTGGGTGCTCCTGCATTAGGTGCATAAATATTAAGAATTGTTAACTCTTCTTGTTGGATCTTCCCTTTCACCATTATATAGTGGCCATCTTTGTCCTTTTTTTCTTTTGCTATTTTAAAGCTTATGTTATATGAAAATAGTATAGCTACCCCTGCTTTCTTTTGACTTCCATTTGCCTGGATGATAGTTTTCCATCCTTTGACCTTTAGTCTGAAGGCATCTTTGTCTGTTAGATGCATTTCCCAGACAGTAGATTTTAGGCTTCTGGATTTTTATCCACTCTGCCAGTCTGTGTCTCTTCAGAGGACAATTTAAGCCATTCACATTTATTGAGAGGATAAAGATTTGAGGTAGATTTCCATTCATATTGATGGGTGAAATCCTATTGTTTTGTTTTGCTCCTTGAAAAATCATGAAGACCAAGTTCTAGGCTTTGACTCTTGAATGCTTTTACTTTGAGGAGTGTCTATTGAGCTGTTCAGTGTGTAGTGCTGAGTACCTCCTCTAGGGCTGGTCTGGTCTTTGCAAATTCCATCAGTGATTGCTTGTCTGGGAAAGACTTTATTACTCCTTCATAGGTGAAACTTAATTTTGGCAGATAAAGAATTCAGGCAGGGCATTATTCTGTTTTAGTACATTAAGGATAGGGACCCAATCCCTCCTGGCTTGTAAGGTTTCAGTTGAGAAATCAGCAGTTAGTCTGATAGGCTTTCCTTTGTAATTTATTTGTTGTTTTTGTCTCACTGCTCGGAGAATTGCTTCTTTTCTGTTTACTTTGGTCAGCCTAATAACTACGTGACATGGTGATTGCTTTTTCACATTGAGTCTCCCAAGAGTTCTGTGTGCTTCTTATATCTTGATATCAAGATTTCTGGCCAGACCTGGCATGTTTTCCTCCAGTATTCCATGAAATAAGGTTTCCAGCCCTTGTGCATCTTCTTCTTCTCCCTCTGGAAGACCTATGATCCTAAGATTTGGTTTCTTTACATAATCCCACATTTCTTGTAAGTTTAGGTCTTGTCTCTTGTTTCTGAGTTCTTTTTCTTCATCTGACTTGTTCAGCATGTAGACATTATCTTCAAGCTCTGAGATTCTTTCCTCTGCATGATCCGTTCTATTCTTGAGGCTTTCTACTGTGTTTTGAAGTTCCTTGAAATCCTCCTTCATTGACAAGATTTCTGTTTGGTTTTTCTGCAGTATTTCAAATTATTTGGAGAATTTTTCATTCATTTCCTGGATTGTTCTTGTGGTTTCTTTATGTTGATATTCTATTTTCTCTTCAATTCCATTGAGTTTCCTTACAATCCATAATTGGAATTCTTCCTCTGTCAGTTTAATGATATCATGTACGTTGGTATCAATTCATGGAAATCAAATATTTTCTTTTGGAGGTGATTTTTCTCTCTGATCTTTCATGTTTCCTGTGTTCTTTTGCTGATTCTTTCTCAACAGGCTACTTTGACAAGGACTGATGGTGCTAGGACTGGTTAATGGACTTCATTTTGGGACTCCAAAGGGACGTTCTTTGGCAGAGCTGAGGAGATGTCCTCTGGTTCTCTATTGTCTTAGTGGAGTTTTGCCTGTTGGGTTATCTCTGCCCTATTATCTTCACCTTCTGCTTACAGAGATTAGTGAGTTTCTTTCCCTTGCTTAGAATCCCAGGAGTTGGATCACTTTTGTGTGTGTGACTCCGCTATCGACCACTTGTTTGAGGTGGAAGACACTGTGTTGTGCTGTGAGGTTACTCTGTTTTTGGTCGCTTGTATTTTGCGTGAAGGGTCGGTTATCAAGGTATTCCAATACCTTTGTATTGAGCTCTAAACCCCAAAATGGGACATACAGATGCCTCAGCCTTTGGGGAATGTCATGCCACTCCCCAAGGGTTACTTGAGCACTGTTACTACTTTAGAAGGGGTGAGAAGAGCAACAGGAATCAGCGAGCCTAAGAGAGTGTACTTCAGAGGTTGCTTGATCAGCAGCTAGGAAAAAGCTGCTAATATGTTATTCAGGGCTCTTTTGCCACTCTTGTGGAGCAGCTCCTGATGGATGTGACAATTGGTGCAATTGCTAAGGACTCTGTTAGAGATTTTCCTTCCAAGACCACAAGTCCCTAAGATGACAATGGCCTGGGCATTGAGGGCAAGCCATTGTGTTATGGTCTTATCAGATGATCAAATCCAATCAGCTGTACCAAGACAACAGACTGTCTCCTTTTGTTTAGATCCAAGGTCACACAGATTCAAACTAGTCCTATAGGGAAAGCGACTCTTCTTCTTTCTCCCTTCCTTCAAGGGCCGAGACTGTCCTGGAGGGCTGTGGGAGGGGCGTTGGCTGGGACTGTTGCAAGACCCTGCCCAGAAAATGTCTTCTCTCATTTCTCTCCTCTTCCAAGGGCAGGTTTTGCCCTGCCAGAGGGGGAGATAACCCACCATACTGGGGGAAGGGTACTTCCTGGGACTACTAGGCGTCTCAGTTCAGGAAGTGGCTACCCTAGTTATTCTGTTCCTTCAAGGGCAGGGTTTGTCTAGTTGCTAGGAAGTGCACACCTCAGGGCTGCTGGAGAAGCCCTGTCCAAGGCCACTGAGGGATCCAGACCAGAAAGCAGCCTGCCCTGCTACTTCTCCCCAGCAGATGTGGGGTCAGTCCCTTTGGCACAAAATACCACTGGCCTGATCATAGTCAAGGGCCGTCTGCAACCTCTGTGGGTCTCAGCCCAGAGAGCAGCTTTCCTTGCCTCTCCGCACTTCCAAATGTGGGAGACTGTTTCTTTGGCCGAAGGAGCCGGCTATCAAGACACAATGTAGAGGCAGCTGGCGCGGGTCCCAGCTGGGAAAACAGCCTCCTTCATTACTCGGCCCTACCCATTGTGGAGTCTGTCCATATGTCAGGCATCACCAGCTACCAAGTCGTAGCAGAGGGGTGACCACGTGTCACAGCTTGAAAAGTGTCCTCTTTGGTTACTACATACTCTTACGGGTGGGAGCTGTCTCTTTGGTGCAAAATAGCCCA